AAAATCAACACCGGTTGCATAGTATACCTTTAAATGTATATGTTCATTTGATTGTATATATAAATACCTTATAGTTTAACATATATAGCCTAAACTAATTTATGTCTGTCCCTAGCTGGACATTCGGTTGCATAAAATAAATGAGATGCAGGATTTGAAATGCAAATATAAAACAAAATGTAGGTATAAACTTATTCAGAACAGGGATGACTTCCATTACTGTTAAGAGGAAGAATTATTCAGTCAGTGATGACTTCATAGCCGCTCCTCCTCGAAGTTAACCAAACCACACATTAATGTTAAGTTCTGCAGGAAGGAAGCTCCACATGTTAACTCCTCGTACGGAGAACGTTGTTTGGCTCAGAGATGTTTCACATAAGAGTACGGCTTAGCAATATATATAAAACAATTATGGAGATTATTAAAAGGCATATAAGATGAGACTAAATTATTATTATTAAGATACTCTACGTTGTCATATTCATCATAGACGCAGCAGTTCTCCTTTTTTCTTCCTCATTTGTCTGTGCTGAACTTCCTGTAGCCTCGCCTCCCTCCCCGTCTCAACACCTCACTTCTTCATGCGTTTTTAGGAGGATTAATGTTTAGTTTATGCCAGTATGTTATTTATTAGCCATTTCAATTTGCCTGCATTTTATCCGGAACAAAGCTTTGATTCAACGGTTTTATTTTATCAGTGCTAAAAAAGAAGCAAAATGGAAATATATTATTTAATGTTATGCAGATATAAACAGTTATTGGAATATTATTTATGCCCCATATCACCCAGTCCTACCAAAGAGTCATTAAATTTATTAATTAGTAACAATTATTACTTAGAATAATGTTTCACAGGCGACAGCATTCTGCTTAGAAATGGAGGTGTGAAACATCTATCTGCTTTACAGGACAAATACTTAGTTTTACATTCTTCAATTCAGATGACTTACTATGACAATGTCCTTCTAGAGAAGTTCCTTCATAGAAATCAGGAGCATGCAAAGAACAGAGTCCAGGTTCAACAAGTGGGTAAACTATACTTGAAGGTGGTGCTTAAAGACAAAAAGAGGCAAAATACTGTTTTGGATAAAACTCTCTGTTACAATCCGCTTAAATGTTGTTGGGTAAAGCTTTCGCGTTAACTATTACAGGGGTTTGAGTGTCAGATTTGCTAGGCTGGTTACACTTAATGCCTAAAAGTATGAGCCGACTTGCAGGGACTTGAATCCTGCTTGTAATCTGAGTATTTATTTGGGTTGACTGTTGTGTCCCATGTGTACAGATGTTGTGAAAACTTGTTCTGATTGAGGGTTTGGTCGAAGAAGTGAGGTGGAGGAGAGAGACCTTAGTAACATGTCTCAACCAATAGGAGCAGGACGTATGATGGGTTTGTTCTTGTTTGTGTATGTGATGAAAAAAAAAAATCTTGAAAGTAATTTAAAGTATTTTTGGTTTATGCCTTTATTTGTGTTTTTTATTTTATTTTATTTGGATCAGTTATGCTTCTAAAGCTCTCCCTGTCTTCTTTTTATCTCTTTAGTGTTTAAAAAGATCTCTAAAGAACCTCAGGGATGTCGGTTTGCTTCAAGTCAAAGTCATCAAGGCTTCAGACCTGATTGCTGCAGATTTGAACGGTAATTACATGTTTGGGTTTTATTTTCACATTTGCTATAGATTTTTTTTTGTTTTTGAGCCTCGTTTGTTCTTGTCTTCAGGGAAAAGCGACCCATTCTGCGTGTTGGAGCTGGGCAATGACAGACTGCAGACCTACACAGTCTATAAGAACCTCAATCCAGAGTGGAACCAAGTCTTCACTCTGTTAGTTTCTTTACTAGTTCAAAAAAGAAACGGGATTCTTTTCTCTGGTGTGTTGATACCTGACCCCCTCCTTTTATTTCTTTACAGGCCTGTCAAAGACATCCATGACGTTCTCATGGTGTCCGTCTTTGATGACGACGGTGACAAGCCGCCAGACTTTCTGGGAAAAGTTGCCATTCCACTGCTTTCGGTAAACTCCAACTCTGATGCAGACCGGTCTATTTACACTTTGGGCCTAAATTAAAGTGAAGAGGGGGATAACACCTTAGTGTGTTGAAGACTTGCTAAGATGTAATCCAGCCTGACTGCCGGTCAGGTTCATGGCCGAGTTCAGCACCTAATGCCCTTTCTGTCCTGCAGATCCAAAGGAGACATCAGTTTGCCTACCCGCTGAAGAAGGAGGACTTGGGCAGACTGTCAAAGGGGTCCATTACTCTAGAGCTGGAGGTTATTTTTAACCCTGTAAGTGAGAGTTCACTCTGTAGCGAAGGACACAATGAAATGTGAAGGAACTCTTTGAAGCACAAGCTTGATGCTGTCCGCTTCTCCGCTGTTTTTTGTCAGATCAAAGCAAGTATAAGAACCTTCCAGCCTAAAGAGAGAGGATACATGGAGGATAATCTGAAATTTTCCAAAAAGGTTTGTTCCAACTATTCGATTAGATTTTAAAATAATAATTCACCTGCAGACACACATCGCCTCCACGGTACATTGCTAAGGAATTTAAACAGCTTGACCAATGAATAAAGTGGCTTATGGATGATTTCAGTCCTTTGAAGTCTTCATAGTTTGTACAGTATGTTGGCATCTGTCTCTTCAAATGCCTGAAAATAATTTAAAATAATAATTTAATCTCTAAGAAGGACAGGTTTTTCTCCTTGGAGATGAATATCCTTAGGCTTGAGTTTTACTTCATTTAGCTTTCAAACTACCCGGCTTCCCTTCTATCCTGTAGAGGAAAAGAAACAACCCCATAGCATGATGCTGCCACTAATATGTTTCACAATGGGGATGGTAGAAGAAAAACGTTAGTTCTTTTTATAGTATTTTGCATTTTGTCTCATCTTTAAATCTTACTCCACATATTCACTGCATCCTCTTTATGACTCATTGTGAAACATTTATATGATTTTGTAACTTTCATTCATTTTTTCCTTTCATTCATTTTTTCGATAAAGGCCAGATTGTGGAAGTTATGACCAACATCATATTGACAGAAGGAATAAATCACTATTTTCCTGCAATAAAATCCCAGTCTTTAACCAAAAGATTTTCCTTTAAAAGAGTGTTGCTCTAAAAAACAAAAATGGGGTAAAATGCACCGTAATGTCAGGTGAGCAGCCTTTCAATTCACGCTAGAATTAGTTTTATTTATATGTAACAGTTTGCTGAATTTTAAAAGAGATAAAGTACGCTGTGTCAAGAGCTTTGTAAATGCTTGATTTTTTAAAAATTTTAAAAATCCTGCAAACAAAAAAATTTGATTATTATGCTCCGAAGAAAGGCTGCAGCCTGGAAAGTGGAAACTAGCTCCACTTCAAATAAGTGCTCCAGACCAGCAGGATGAGATGAACTTTGACTCATGTAGAGCCAGATTCTACGTCCAGACCCACAGTAGACATGTTTCCATTAACCTTTTTATTTGTGCATTTTTAAAGTATTGTTTTGTCCACCCCTCCCTCTGCTTCATCGTATTGATCACCAAGCTCTATATCAGCTGTTGGTAGAACGGACAATCCAAGTCCAATCGGATGGTTACAATATTACTGGACCGCAAATTTGTCATTCATTGCATCTAGAATACGATCATATCTGAAATAATTAATTCAAGCAGTTTCTTTGTGATTTCGACCAAACATACCTGAAAAATTCTGGCCTGTTTGTGCACTAAAGCCAGAACCGCTGGATTTATACTGAGGTTATTGCTCACTGTACAACTGGTTCCTGTTTGTTGACTTCAAAAGGCAAACAGATGTTGCATTCTATTTTTGGGAGGATAACTTATTAATGAAATACATATTTATGACATTTTACTTTAAGATGAATGTTTGATGGAAGTTTTAAAAAAAATTGACATTCACCTTTTATAACACAACTATTAAATGCTTTGTGATGCCTTATGACATAAATCCTTATAAGAAATGTTGAAAATGTAAAAAAAAAAAAAA